CGGGGCGCCTCCCACGCTCCTGACGCCCCCTCCGCCGCAGCTCGCAGGCCTCCTGCGGGCCTGAGTCCTCGGGCTCTGAACTAGCCCTGGCTGCGCCTGTGCCTCGGATGCTGCAGGGGCTCCTGGGCTCTGACGACGAGGAACAGGAAGACCCCAAGGACTACTGCAAGGGTGAGGCCTGGCCTTGGGCACAGGCAGCCAGCCAGCCAGCACAGCGCCTCAGGACCGCTTAGGGAGAGGAGTGCGCCTGGGGCCTGGGCCCACGTGGGTCAGATGGCTGGCAGGGCTGCCCTACCCTGGGGGACAGGGGGCAGAGGCGACCCCACCATGGCCCAGGACCTATCTGCCCCTTCGCAGGCGGCTACTACCCCGTGAGGATCGGCGACCTGTTCAATGGACGGTACCACGTGGTGCGCAAGCTGGGCTGGGGCCACTTCTCCACCGTCTGGCTCTGCTGGGACATCCGGTAGGTGCCCACTTGGTCCCCCAGGGCCCAGTGCTAGCTGGAATCCCACCCTGGGATCAGTCAGGCCAGCACGATGCCCCTGTGGGTCTGCCCAGGGCCACCAGCCAACGAGGGTCTGGGCATTGCAGGCGCAAGCGCTTCGTGGCCCTGAAAGTGGTGAAGAGCGCAGGGCATTACACGGAGACAGCTGTGGATGAGATCAAGCTCCTGAAATGTGTGAGGCGCCTCCCCTCCTCGCTCCCAGCTCCCGGGGCCCTGCCTGGGACCTGGCCTGCCGGGGCTCTGGGGCAGGGCGGGGCTCCCAAAGGGGAGACTCCAGATGGTATGCCCAGAGGCACCAGTACAGGGCGGGTTTGGTGCCCCCTCGACTTTTCCTCCAGGTCCGGGACAGCGACCCCAGTGACCCCAAAAGAGAGACCATTGTGCAGCTCATCGATGACTTCAGGATCTCAGGGGTTAATGGAGTCCGTATCCTTTGCTGGATGAGCCGCAGTACAACAGCAATGGGCAGTTGGGGCCTTCCTCCATACCAGGCTGAAGCTTGCTACTCTGCAGCAGGCTTAGCCCACCCAGCGACACTCCGCTAGGGAACAACCCCGCCCCTCCAGCCTTTACGTTTGCATGCATGGGGTGGGGGGGGTGTTAGGGCACAGTCCGGTTACCCCAGGCTGCAGGGGCCACCTCTGCAGGGACTGCCAAGCGGCCTTTTAGTGTACCCAGGCAGAGCAGTGCCCTTGCTCCGGGAAGACCACAAAAATGTGCCACCCCACTGAGAGTGAGAGGGACACTATAAGCCATGACGCCAGGTGGGTGGTGACCGCTGGGCCCACGCAGGGCCTGCCCTGCCCCCCTCACCTCTGCAGTTTGCTCCCTGCAGCAGAGGGCGGGCAGGACCCAGCGCCCGGCCGCAGGGTGACCAGCCTTCACTCTGGGCCCCAGACGTGTGCATGGTGCTGGAGGTGCTGGGCCACCAGCTGCTCAAGTGGATCATCAAGTCCAACTACCAGGGCCTGCCCGTGCCCTGCGTCAAGAGCATTGTGAGGCAGGTGCTGCGCGGCCTGGACTACCTGCACACCAAGTGCAAGATCATCCACACGGACATCAAACCCGAGAACATCCTGCTGTGTGTGGGGGACACCTACATCAGGCGCCTGGCCGCGGAGGCCACGGA